CCCCACAAACATTTCAATTTAGTCCCTACAATAAAATAAAAATGTCAACTCAACCCAGCAAAACCACCCCCGTTTGTTCATAGGATACCCAGCATTAGGTATCCTTATTAAACTTTTACGTAAGCCTAAGAACGTCGTCGTGGGCTGCTGCGGTTTTAGTGTAGCGATGAGGCCCATTTATTCATAGAATACCTAGCATTAGTTATACTGCGAAAACTTTGGGGTGGGCTTGAAAATGCTAGTTCTCAATAAACAACCCCAAAATTGACAAGGTACCATTCAGGGCCATAAAGCGATGGGGCCCATTTATTCATGGGATACCCAACAATGGGTATCTTGTGAAAACTTTGATAGGGGCTTGAGGACGTTGCCGTCGGTTGCAGGGGTGCGGGAAAAAAAAAGGGGGGGGGGGGGGAGGGGGGGGGGGGGGGGGGGGGGGGGGGTGGGTTGGGGGTTATCCAACTATTTTTGAACTTATTGAGGAGAAAATTTCCTTTAACCTACTTTCAAGGTTGAAGCAAATTAAGAAAATGAAACATTTAGGGTAATGTTTGGTGATTTGGTTTAAGTTTCATGGGTGGGTTTAAAGTGAAGAAAAATTTTCAGAAGGTTTGATTTGGTCAGCTCTAGAAGTTGGTGAAACATGGGACTCCTGTGGAAAACAAGGAAAGAAAGGCCATGGCTTTGGTGACTTGTAGATGTGTCATGCATTAACTCTTTGTAAGATGCATCATGTGTTACCTTATTTCCGTTATTTAAAATTCTACTAAATATAAATGTACTTACACCTCTAGTAAATTTCATTTACATCCCCTGAGTTTTTTGAAAGTGATAGGATCATGCCATGTTTGACACTTTTCATTACAAATGGTGAATTCTTAGTGACATGTCAAGATGTAACTCAAACATAAAAGGCTAAAAAAGGTTGGGTTTTAGATTCTGATACATCTATGCATGTTTGTAATGATAAAGATTGTTTTGTTGAGTTGAAAGAAGATGGAAATTATGGAAATATTGTTGTCGGTAATAACGAGAAAGTAAAGATTGAAGGTGTTGGTAGTGTTCGTCTCAAGCTTCACAATGGTGTTGTCAAGAATCTTCGTCATGTGAGGCATGTACTAAGTTGTAGTCACAATTTGATTTCTTTGGATGAGTTAGCTTTTCGTGGATATACCTACATTGGTAAAAAAGATGGGTGCGAAATTTATAAAGATGATGTTCCGATTTTGCAAGGCAAAACGAATGAAAAACAACTATCTTTGTTTGTTGAAGGTGTGTTTCTTAAGAAATCAAGAGATAAAATTGTTTTAGTTCATGTTGTGAATGAAAAGAAGAATGTCAACTAGGTAAGATTTTTAGATGCTACTGTGATGTTTAGGGATTCAAGTCAAGGGAGGAATTGTTTACATGGTGCCTTGAATCCCATATTGCTTGGGAAAGGTAGTTGCAAGGGGAGTCTCCCCTTTAAATAGACAAACGACCTGAGCTTTTAAAGTATCTCAAAAAGTGTAAGAAAAAACACCAAATGAATAATCATAGTGGACTATTATTAAGAGTGTAATTGGGCTTTCTGAGATAGTGTAAAGAGTTTACAATTTTTCTCTTCTAAAAATTGCACAGTTTTTAGCATTTTCTTAGTAGATTGTTTGATAGTGAATATATGATAAATTGATTGGATTGAACCACTTAAAAATTCTTGAATTTGGCTTGCTTTATTTTTAGTTGATTGCTTTAGTTTTGCATTTGAGTTGTAGAAATCTTTTTTCCCAACTGAAGACCTAAGAGAGTAAGTCGAATGCAAGAATTTATTAGTTCATAAATCATATTCTGCTTAGTTTCTTTAATTTAATTTATCTTTTGAAAATTTGGATTTTTTTTATGGGTTTTCTCATGTTAGTATGCTTTTTTTTTTCTTTACCTTATATTAGAAAAATTATAATTGTATTGAACAAAAAAATATTATTAATAAATATTGAAGTTTTATATTTATGATTATGAAGAAATTTTAAAGTATATTATTTATGAATTCCTGATCGTAATCATTCTTGACCCCGCCATTGTTTTTACCTAATATCTTAAAGTTTTTGAATAAATCTGATACTCTTATTAATTTTTTTAATAAATTAGAATTGTTTAAAATATTTATTAGAATGAGAAGATTTGAAGTAACCTAATAAATTAGTTTCCGGATTGGATCTAGAGTTCCTACAATAGAAGGATTTATATATATACGTATAAACAAATGGATATAAAGTAAATCAAAACTTTTTATGTTTCATAAAATGCAAAAGAAAACTAGATCAATAACAAATTAATGTCATTAATTATTTTTCAAAAAAAAAAAAAAAATCCACACTTCCCCAATCAGTCAAGCACTTGCTTTGCAAGCCCGGCTTCAAAGCTAAAGTCTCCATTGAATTTGAACCACATAAGTTTTAGAAAGTAGGAAACAATGGCTTTCAATCATGCAGATACCCATGAGGGGGCTCGAACCCAAACCACAAGCTAACCATCCGTTTAAGCCCTCACAAGTGAACGTTGACCTTAGAACCAATTTCCGACCGGAGGTGCCATCCAATGTAAAATATAATCTCTGGTAAACAATAATCTAATTAATAATTACTTATAAACCATAATCTAACTATTTTAAAGGTGATAAAGTAACATATGAAATAACTTTTTGTAATTTCCTATTCTCCAACCGTTAAATTGTTTATCAAATCAAAGGTTGAAAATCTAAATTACTGTTTTAAATCAAAAAATTAAGTTGATAGAATATGATATTTTATTAAAACATATCCTATTTGGACCTCTGGAAGTCTGGATGTATGTTTATTACGGGCCTACGCAAAACCTATTGGGTTTGTTAAGCATTTATTTTCATTCAATGGGCTGTGATGGCCCATTACCAAATTGGGTACGAAGAAAAATATAACCCACAACTCTTTAAATACAACTATGACATACCATTATTACAAGAGAGGATTAATTAAAAAAATGTTAAATAAAAGAGCAATATGTAATATAATTTAATATTTATAATAAAAATATGTTTTTTAATTTGTATAAAATCTTATTAGATGGGTAACGTTTCCGAAATGGTGTCTCCAAATCAATAATCTATAACATCTTGTCAAGTCAATTGCAATGTTGCACATTACTAAAATAACATTTAAAACTATTAATAACTTCATAATTTAAATTATTATTATCTCAATGCAAACCAAGCGAACTATCAATCAGCCAACCTTTCATCTACATGCAGGGGCGGATGTCATGGCACACCCTCAAATTTAAAAAATAATGTTAGTATGTAATTTTATTTTATTTTTATGACAATTTCGACTACAAAAACAAAATATGAATGTTATATGCAATTATTTTTTATTTTGACTCACTCTAACAGAAATTTTTGGATCCACTACTGTCTATATGGTTTTATAATATTGATGTTATCAAGTAAAACAATGTTAATTAATTTAAAGTGTTGAATTGATTAGGATCTAACTATTTTGTTTGTGGCGGATGACACGACTTTAGATTATTTATTAGGTTGGCGTTTAATGATATCTTGTTTAATGATATCTTGTAAGATTTTAATAGACCTCAAAATTATTTGAAGTACGTGTAAATCAGTCAAACATCCTAATAAAAAAATATAAAATTGACTAGGATCATTTAACTTACGTACCGAGCATTCATAAAATGTTATCCTTGATTAGTGGAAAATCATTAAATATATAAAATTAATAAAGGGTGTTTGTTGTGAGACCCACATCTCTCATATTGAGAGGATTGAATTTGAAAAAGCAAGCAATAAGGTATTCATAATTGTCGTTTCTTAGATGTTGCCATCTGTCTATTTCATCTAATTTGCGGCGCATGCTTTGCCAAGATAACTACAACTTAAAATATCTTTAATTATTATTATTATTTTATATGCCCAAGTAAGTCATTATCATTTGGCATTAATGCTCTTTTATTTGATACCCCTTTTTTTTTTCTTTTTTTTTTTTAGATAAAAATATTTTACAAAGAGAGTTTATACAAACTGATATGACATATTAAGTGAGTATCACATAATATAAGAATTCACATGATATTAATATGACATTAAGTTAGGTGGTTCTCAATGTCATGTGGTATATCATACCACATCAATTTATACAAATAGCATTACCCTTTTTTTTATTTGTTTATGCCATCCAATTTGTCAATCTTTTGTGTTTGTTAGAGCATTTCCAATATTGCTCTTTATATTAAAGAATATATTTCACATAAATAAAAAATATTTTTATTAATTTCTAAATATAAAGAACAAAATTTATATTCAAATCAGACTCTTTAAATTAGACTTAATAAATAAGAGAGAAATAGGTGAAATCATTAATAATAAAATACATAAAAACTTATAATTTGTTAATTAAAATAGGGATATAGTCAAACTCACTCTTTAATTTATATTTAAAGAATAAAAAGTCTATTGGACTCTTGTTTTTATGGACAAACTCTTTATAATAAAGAGTTTTGATTATATAAAGAGTATTTTGAAGATGCTATTAAGTTCTTCCATTTTCTAATTAATTAGGCCCTATAAGAGAGATTCTTATTCCTATTGATTTCTATTTTCCAATTAATTAAGCCGTCTTAAGAGAGATTCAACAATTAGTTTACACTTATTTCAATTAATTCTTTAAAACCCTAGAACTATCAAACCGGTAAGAGTTACAATGACCACCCTTATTGGAGTTTAGGGGTACTCGAACTTATGAGTTCATGAAACATTTTTTTGCTCTTTTACTATCAGATTACTCAATGGTAGTTATAAGTTTTAGTTTCTTTAAATGAACTTGTGGTTATACCTTTATTACCTAATAATAATATCTTTAAGTTTTAAATGAACATATGTATATAGCAATAGATATCAAGTAAATCAAAGCCTAACATAAAATGCAAAAGAAAACTAGATTAATAACAAATTAAGTGTCATAAATGAAGTATTTACAAAATGGGTGCCAGAGTCATCCATTTATTGATTTTGAGTTTTGAAACTAAATTAGGAATCTCAATTCATGGAACCCAAGTCATTAAATTCATGGTTCCATGCTGCAGCTACAGTAATTTAATTAAGATTAAAAGGATACACACATACAATTAATTAATTAATTATATCAATTAAACTACAATTCAATTCAACTCCTGTTTATGCTTAATCCGAAAAGCCAATGCGGCATCTTCTTTTCCTGGTTATCAAATGTCGCACTTGAGCTACTCATTGGAGTGTTGGGGCCGCTATCAGATTTAAACGACGCAGTTGAGTCAATCTCCCTGGTTTCCTTCATTAATTCTTGACCTTTTGATCTCTTCTTGTTTGAGCTTACTCCAATGCTTAATGTTAACTCAACTTCACTCTCTTCATCAGACCCTTCTATGCTCATTTTATTGCCGATTTGGCTGCTGCCACTTCTCTCCCTGGAGCTTGGATCTTCAGGAATATTTTGAACCTGGAAAATATACCCTGAAGTAGTTGTTGCATTTTGCGTTTTCATAAATATATGTGAATGGTTCATTTCTGAACCTGCCATTGAAGCACTTGAAATTCTACTTTGTTTAATTTCTTTCTTCAGCTCAGCCATCATCATCTTTTGCACACTATACAGCCTGTGGAGTTCTTGTACCTGAAATTTTCAAATCATGGTTAGATCTGAGCCCTACTATTCGAGGCAGGTACGTTAAAGACAGATCCGAGAACAATATCATGACAGTGGACCAAGATGTTATAATAAGGAGATTAATTGATTGAGAAATATAAAGACCTTGAGTTCACCTGGTGTTTGAAGATATCTTCATGGATCTGCATTGTTCTTTTTATGGAGTCTATGTTGTGCTTCTCAAGCATCCTGTCCATGGAGTTGCGGAAACCGTCTTCTCGAGTTCTTTGAAACTTCTTCACCTCTCTGGATTGGAAATAATCCCAGTCATCCACACGATGATGTGCGTTAAAGTCGAAGCTGTTAGTATTTGTTGAAGCTGCTAATGGATTGATTGCATACTCAATTTTGGTTCCCATGCCTGAAATCAAATGACTGTCAAATTTACTGCGAATCCCGATAGATTTCACTACAAATGTTGCTAAAACAGAAGCAAATACTGACACAATTATTTGAAAACATGAGCTAGAAATTGTTTTGGTTTTAATTTTGATTTGATTCCTTCCACACAATCAAAAGATCTGTCATGAACAAAATTGAGTCATCTTCAACCTTGCTGAGATGAAATGGTCTAGGATCAAACAAAATCAATTTAATTCTAGAAAAGAGGGAAACTTTAGGCCATTACAAAGTGAAATTATCCACAAAAAAGGCTTTATGGTTCCCTATTTGGGGTACCAAATGCAGGCCACGTTTGGGAATAAGACAGGTTTGGCACATGAAAAAAGGTGTTGAAAATTAGCAGTGAGAGTTAATTTTCAAGGTTTAGAATAGAAGAGGAAACGAATGGACCTTCAAATGTTTTTAGAATTTTCATTGGGAGCTCTGAGAGTAGTGTTACCAAATAGTTTCTAAACCTTCAAGGTGAAATGAGATGTGGGCAATACTGAGACCAAATATATGTCAAATGAGTCATTTTATCACTTTATGATGTTGGTGGTAGCATCACCCGCCATTATTATAACTGGGTGGTCTTCTCTTCTATCTATTTTCAGGAATTTAATTAAATTGTTCTCGAATTTCCACTTTTATCTGTTTCTTCCAAAAGCTAATTAAACCTTTGTGATGATATCATCATCAACCAGAATTATTACTATTAAACCTAATCAACTCATATTACATAAGCCAAACAGTAGGACTGAAAGAGAAAGTTTGATGAAAAAATTGTTTTACAACACAACACCACACTGTACATCATCTAAAAACAAAAGTCTCTTTCAGTTTTGAATATTTTTAAACACAAAAACAAAGATTGTTCAACAACAAAAAGACTACATACATATGTATTAAAACATCACCAAAATTAAATTAAATTACCTGAAACAAAAGATGAACAGAAGGAGAAGTCCTTGTATGAAGCTCATTGAAAAAAGGATTCTTGTTCTTCACTGACGCGAAAAGTCGTTTGATCCATAAGTGAAAGAAGAAGAAGAAGAAGAAGAAGTTGTTAATGAACTAAGCAAGAAATGAAATGAAAATATTGAGCAAGACAGACGGAGCAAACAAAGCAGTGGAAGAAGCAAAAATCTGGAGATGACAGGCAAGAAGGAGTCCCACTTTGCTTGAATAAACAACAAAGAGAATCATCAAGGCTTAAAAAATATAATTCAGGGTCTTAATAATTCAACCATGACAGCCTGTGAAGGAGGGAAGAAAAAATGCTAGACCAGTAGAAATATTGTGTGTAATATTTTGAGAGAGAGAGAAAGAGAGAGAGAAGATGTTTATTAATAAATTAAAGTGTATATAATATATTCAGTATAATATAAGGGATGATATTTTAATGGTATAGTATATTTGTGTTGCAAACTGTACTTTGGAGGAAATCAAAAGAAGTGGGCCATAAAAGTCTTTATAATAAAAAACAAATGAAGCTCCTAAATATATGTATATAAGCCAATGTAATATTGTAAACCTGTGAACAAGATATTCCAGACAAGTCTTTGCAGGACCTCAAGATATGCATCTGTCATGTATGGAAATTTGGTGCCATCCTTCTCATTTTTTTTTTATTTTTATTTTACCATTTTGCACATCTCGTAACCTTAGCCAATAAGAGTTTGGGTTAATTTTTAAGTTTTTTGATCCCCTCAATTTATTGGATACATTTTAAAACAAACATGGCAAACAAAATCTATTCCGTTAAATTATAACGGTAACAGCTATGACGTATGAAAAGTTAATTTTTCCTTCTCGTTATAGCCACATATTACTTGATAAGCATAACACTAAACAATGATAAACATTTAATACTCGATCACTGTCCATATGATAATGTAAGATTAAAGGCAAATGACTTACGAAATAAATTGGGATATTAACTGAGACTACATAGCATTATTTTTAGAACACAAGTTCCTTCAAAGCTTATGTTAACCACCCTTGGATGGCCAGGGTGGGGGCAATAGAGACTTTTAGATACGTATATTATTTAAGAGGTACTGAAGTTACTAGTGGGAGTGACCATTGAATTTTACCTGATCGTTAACTTCAGAGCTCCAAAGAATTAGTTGAGGTACATATAAACTGATCCAAACAACTTTGGTCACAAAAAAAAAAAAAAAAAAAGATTATGTTCAAATATAGAAATCAAGTCCTCAATTGCTTGTAGTAAAGTCCAAGAAAGACAGAGACAATAAGAAATTACAAGGAATTTTTTTTTATTTTATTTTTTTATGACCGAAGACGTTTAAGTTAGTTTGCGCACACCTAAACTAATCCTCCGTGATCGTAAAACTACTTACTGGGTAAGTGCTATAGTGACCACTCTTATTAAAGGTCGTGGGGACTCGAATTCAAGAAACCATATTCAATTCTCTTCTTGCTCTTTTACTATCAAGAGAGATCATGTTATATTCTCTTTTTCTCTTTTACTATCAGATCACCCAGTGCTGGTTATAAGAAAAAAAGTTGGGATTACAACGAGATGGAAAAACTAACTCATCATACATCGTAGTTGTAGCATAATATTGTATAATTCAAATTTCTCAAATAACTTTTCAAAATATAAATATATCTCTCTAAAAAAGGTTAAAATTAGAAGGTAAATTTGATTAACTAATTAGTTATAGATATAATAATTTAAACTGAAAATTTTATTTTGAATCTCTGTCCAGTGAAATAGACATGTGTTCTGTCCACTGATGATGTCTTGTTCCTGGAAAATTTAAACGGTTTCCCATTTGATTATTCTCTCCGTACTGAACAACCATATCTATCTAGATGATTGAGAATTTGAGATTTTAATCTTAGTACAAATTAATTTTTAGTATTTATTGGATTCCATCAATATATATTAATTTATTTAGTATTAATACATAATTTTATTTTATACATCAAGATATAATATTTTGATTACTAATATACTTAAAAACTTTTGGCATCTTATCTGACCTCATTCTTGTTCAATAAGTAATTATACATCACTCTTTTTCTTTCTTGTGAGCATAAATTTCTACAATAATTGAAGAAAGGAATGAAACTTTTTGACATTTTGGAACTTTGTTTTGTTAATAAATATTCATAGTATCATATGTTTGTCCGATATTAACTAAAAAACCTATTAGATTTTTATCACATGTACTTCCTTGTAAATCCAGTTAAGCCTTTATCATTACTCATTTGGTATTTTTATATACTTTTGCATCTCCTGGGAACTCTACTACATACAAATATTTCATCCAAAATCCACTTTATATTATCATATTTTTAATTTCTACTAACTGTGTTTCCAAAGAACAATAGTACACCAATTAGCCAATCTTTTCATTGGGTTCCTAGCTTTCATTTTGGACTAGATACAATTTCAAAAGTTTTCAAATCAAAACTTTTTTCTTAAAATTGAAAATTCATATTCTTAATTGAGGATGTGCCCATTTTCTTTTGAATCGATTATGTTGGATGACATTGGTATATTTATGTCGATAAATATTGAAGGATAAATTTTATAGTTTTCAAAACAAAAAATTTAGAAAATTCTCAAGCAAACTTGTCCGAATTTCTTAAGAAATCCAGACTCCCATCAGTTAGATGGTGTCAATAAATAATTACAAACAAAATTTTAAAATTTCTAACACAAGACCGAATATTTCACTTTCAGTATTGGGGTTATTAAATTTTTTACCAATGTAAGCATAATCCCTTGTGGTCGGATGACAAGCCCTAGCTTTAGCACTATCCAGGGGTCTTGTTCGAGTCGCGGGAGAGGCAATTACCGGGTTTATCCAAAACAATTAACCTCTTGGCTTGTGGCTGGATGGTACTCGAAGGTCTTGTATTCGAGTCCTGCCAAGACCCTAGGGATTAGTCTGGTGCGCGAAAGCTAGCCTAGACACTCTATTAAAAAAAAACAAAAAAAATGTAAGCATAATATAAAAAATAAATATACATTTTAAATGTTGGGAATTACTCATCATGTTTAATGTTGCAAATATACTATTCTATGTGAATCTACATATTTCACGAATCTATATCCAATTTTACGAAAAAAGATATGTTATAAGTTTTATTATTATTATCAATATTGTTGATTCATATATACCAATTGACATTTACATGAATCAAAACCTCTGTTAATTAAAGAAAGAAAAGGGGAAACTTCCTACTCATAACTTTCCTCCAAAAGCCAGGGGGCAAAACATGGCAGAACTTCTGATCCGGAGATATCAAAACCGCATGCCTAGGCGAAATATAATACTTGCTAGCTTGCTTTGGGATTTTATTTTTTATATGTGGCAGCCTTGCTTTACCTTGTTAGTCACTGTTATGGTGAAATTAAAGCCCCATGTGATTCAGGACAAAATTATAAGGAAATTAATTTTTTTTTTTTAAAGTTGTATTTTAATTTTATATTGCTTTTTTTAACATGACATGTTTTCTTATGTAATATGTAGATGACAGATGTATGTTCACATATAGTAGAGTTTTATTTTTATTTTTATTTTTTTGTATTGAATTATATTATATAATTGAACATTAATTATTATAAAATGCAGCCTTACAAGACCTTATATAATATATAGATGACCAGGTATGCTCTTGACATACGGTAGAGTTTTCTTATGTTTTTATATATTTTGAGTAATATTATAATTTAACATTAATTTTTGTAAAATATTATAATGCAACTTACAAGACTTTTCTACGAATATCCTTTAACCAGTACATCTTAATATTAATTCAATAATTCTCTCAAGACAAAGCTTAAACATTGTTGGATTCACTCATTGAATTGAAGTGATATTTTACAAATAAATATCCAACGGTGATTTAGTATTGTTCTAATATAATTAATATTAGAACATCCTGACTAGAGAACTACCCAACCTTTAAATATATGAAAGAGTTTTAATTACATATTTCAATTTTAATTAAAAAAATTATTTATCAGGTATTCAAGTGCATAATATATCTTAATTAAACCATGGTTTACTTTATTAAACTACATAATGCTTATATGCATAGGTTTATGTATGGAAGTAGTCAACATTTTTAACAGTTTAATATTTTTTTCAAAGTATTGTTAAAGTCATAAAAAACTTTCCTTAAAATTATGTAAATTATCATAAATCTCCCTTAAAATCATTTAAAACCTTATTTAAAGTTTCATAAATTTATAAACATACATTACTTCCTTCTAAATTAAGGGACTCTTAAAAACAATGATTAGTTTCAGAAATTTACTTATAATAAATAAAACTTTGAGAATCATCTATTCATCGGATGATAAGTCTCTGGATTAAACATAAGATACGTGCAATCACCCCAAGACTCAGATAAGTGCAATCATTCACAAGCGATCTTATAAAACATTTATTAAAGTTCTTAAAAATTATTTTCTTAACTTTAAGAAAAAAAAAATTAGGATTATTTGGGTTGGATTTTTGAAAAAGTTGAGTTGAATGGTTATTATGAGGTATGATTTAAAAATTGACAAAACACCCCTTATGTTTGTTAATTTAGCTAAACACCCCTATAATAAAATATTAAAAATTAACAAAAATATCCCCACTCACCTATTAAATGCTGGCAGCCGATCACCACAATCGGAGGGTAGTTGAAAGTCGCCTTAATGGTGCATGACCGGCTAGATCTAGCCGGTCATGCGTCGATATGGCCTTTTTCGATCAGATTCGCCATAGATCTAGCTAGAAAATGCCAAATCTACGGCCAGATATAGCCGTTGATAGTCAGATCTGACCACATTTGGTCGTCAATCAAAGATATGACCGTTGTTGATGACCAGTTACGGCCAAAGATCTGGCCGTCAACGGCCAGATCTACGGTGGATCTAGCTTAAAAAGGTTAGATCGGTGCACTATCGGCTAGATCCAGCTGGTAGTGCACCATTACGCCAGATTCTAGTGATGGTGGCCAAAATCTGGCAAATGTGGTTTGGTGGGGGTGTTTTTGTCAATTTTTAAACTTTTTTTTTTGTTGGAGGTGTTTAGTTAAATTAACAAACTTAGGGGGTTTGTTATAAAATAGAATTGGATTTTCATAATAGGGAAACAAATATATATTTTGGGTAGGATTTAAAAAATCCTACTCAAAATAGAGAAGCAAACACACCCTTATTAATGAATTTCTTGATCAAATAGAATCAAGACTTTGATGACATAATGGATTGCTCAAAAATATTATGTGCTAGATGTAAAGAGAACCAAATCCCATCTATAATTAAAAAAAATACATAAAAATAAATAAATAAATAAG